GGGCCGGGCCCGGCGGTGGCCGCGCCGGCGGCGGCCGGCAGCCTGGTGCCCGCGGCGCGCCAGCAGCACTGCACGCAGGTGCGCAGCCGGCGGCTCATGAAGGAGCTGCAGGACATCGCGCGCCTCAGCGACCGCTTCATCTCGGTGGAGCTGGTGGACGAGAGCCTGTTCGACTGGAACGTGAAGCTGCACCAGGTGGACAAGGACTCGGTGCTGTGGCAGGACATGAAGGAGACCAACACCGAGTTCATCCTGCTCAACCTCACCTTCCCACGCAGGTGCGCAGCCGGCGGCTCATGAAGGAGCTGCAGGACATCGCGCGCCTCAGCGACCGCTTCATCTCGGTGGAGCTGGTGGACGAGAGCCTGTTCGACTGGAACGTGAAGCTGCACCAGGTGGACAAGGACTCGGTGCTGTGGCAGGACATGAAGGAGACCAACACCGAGTTCATCCTGCTCAACCTCACCTTCCCCGACAACTTCCCCTTCTCGCCTCCCTTCATGCGGGTGCTCAGCCCGCGCCTGGAGAACGGCTACGTGCTGGACGGCGGCGCCATCTGCATGGAGCTGCTCACGCCGCGCGGCTGGTCCAGCGCCTACACCGTGGAGGCCGTCATGCGCCAGTTCGCCGCCAGCCTGGTCAAGGGCCAGGTAAGGCAGGGGGATCTGGGGCGAGGTCGAGCCGAGCGCGGGGTGGAGGGACGGCCGCTGGCCCCTGCCCGGGCTGCCAGTGCAGTCGGTGCCCCTCCAGCCGGAGGCTGCGCCCCATCGCCTGGGCTTCTCTTCCTGAGAGTTTCTTCCCTCTGGCCAGGTCTTCTGGCCTCCAGGGCCGGTTCCGCTACAGTCTCCGGGCTCTGGCTCAACCATCCTCTTCCGGCTTTCTGGCTCATCCATCCTCTCCCGGCTCTCTCTCTGGCTTGTCCATCCTTCCCCTTTCTGTCCATGTCTAGCTCCCACTCTCTGCTTCCTCTTCTCCATTCCTCTAACCCCTTTCCACTCCTTGGAACCCTTCTCATTTCCCTCTCCATCTCCCACTCCCGTACTCCCTCTCCACGCTCCTTCCCTACCTCACCTCCACCCCCCTCTCTCTGTCCACCCTGCTTAGCTGATCTCTGGTCTGTGATTACCACCAAGGTTCGAACTTTTCCTGAAGCTCAGAATCTAAGTATCCAGCCCAGCACCTCAGGCAGAGAGAGAGAGAGAGAGAGAGAGAGAGAGAGAGAGAGAGAGAAAATGTGAATGAGAATGAGAGAGAATGAATATGAATTTCCTCTCAGGTGGTCTGCCTTCAGATCCAGCTCCCTGCTGGTGGCCCTCCGTGTCCCCATTGCCCCCATTCTCCCTGTAAAGGTGGAAGCTGTGCTCTTGGGAAGCTCCAGAGGGACAGGTGTGGTTTGAGTCTTTCCTTAAGTGAGTAGGCCAGACCCCATCTAGCAAAGCTGCTCTCACCAGCCCCCCTTGCAGCCTGGTACTTGCCCTGTCTAGGGACATCCTCTCTTGGTAGATGCTGGGTCTCTGTCTCGTTCAGGCCTCAGGCCTTCCCTTTGTTTCCTGGCCATCCCCAGGGTGGATTTATCAGAGCTCAAGAGCCAACCAAGCTCAGAAAGACTGAGAGGGTCCGCTGAACTGGCTCACGGACTGCACCAGGGGTGCTTTACAGAGAAACAGGACAAGGACTTAAGAGCAGGGAATGAATGGATTTTCTGAGATACGGAATCTGCCCCACCCCCACCCCCTGGGCTGCAGGCAAGGGCGGCATGGTTTGACTTCTCACCTTTGTATGTTCTTAACTCTGTCCAAATTCTATGGTGAGCATTTTCTGAATAAATCCTAACATCACCTTATGAAATCACATTTCTATGTGGGTATGGGAGTCTCTGATATTTACAGAGAATCCTTGTTTTCTTGAAAGGACCCTGAATGACCTCCATTTGGTCTTTGGACAGCCAGCTTATCAGAAGCAATCATTTCTTCTCAGCCAGCTTATCAGAAGCAGTCCTTTCTTCCCCTTGTTCCTGCTGTCTGTAGGACGCATCTCGCTAATCAAATGAAGCTTGTTCTGCCAATTTCGCTAGAGGTGGAGCCCCTGGGATTCCAAACAAACAGCATCCCAACTCCAGCAGAAAAGGTCACTGGAATCCTGAGCAGCCCTACCAGTCCACCTTTGTCCGGGGCTCAGGTTCCACTTATTTTCCCAGTAGGAAAAGGATGGGTGATGGCTCTGGAGCAGATAGCTTTAACAGAGGTCTTGATGCTTTTCAGGTTTCCTTCCTCTGACAGTGAAATACTAGCTGAAATACAAGGTGCATGTGATAGAGTCCAGGCTACTAGTGGGGAGGAAGTCTAGGTTTACTTTCCCGTTGGGCTTACATAAGTATGGTGGAAGGCTATTGCACAGACATGCGTGGTTATTTGCTTCTCAAATCGATGCTGAGCAGAGCTCCTCGGAACAGTGAGCCGTCATCTTCTACCCTTCACAGGGAAAATGATTTGGGGGGCGGGGTGGTCAGAAAAGAGGAATGTCATCTTGCTCTATAGACTCAATCACAACATTTTGGACTTAGGAGAAATTTTAGCTTGCAGTCTGCATTCTAGAAGGTTCAAGGAAATAGATTTTGAATAGGAAATGGAATTTACAAAGAGAAATGTCTTAATAAATGATTTTTGCCATCTTTACGTTGATGCTCTGAGTCCCTTAGTGATCTCCTAGATCTTGGGTTCCCTTTCTTCATAACCAAAATTCAGAGTCATGCGATCAGTTTGCAAATTAGGTTTTCTTACCAACATTTTCCTTATTTGATAAGTTCTCAATTGGACTCAGTTCTTTCTGCCCAGCAGGTTGCATTATAGTAGCCTTGAGCGTCTAAAATCATGGTCAGAATGTGGTGGGGGTTTTTTGTTTTGTTTTGTTTTGGTTTTTTTTTTTTTTTTTTTTTGGTCTTTTTGAGACAGGGTCTACCTGTAGCCCCAGCTGTCCTGGAACTCACTATGAAGACCAAGCTGGCCTTGAACTCAGATATCTGCCTGCCTCTGCCTCCCGAGTGCTAGGATTAAAGGCGTGCGCCACCTCGCCCAGCTGGAATGTGGTGTTTTTTAAAACGCCAGTTTGGTTCTCTGCATTTCCTGTTCCTTCGTTTCAACATACAGTTCTCCAAAGGAAATTGATGCATGATGTACATGAAATATTCAAGTGCAACGAAAGAGTTGAAGAGATGGATGGTCATTAAAGTTTTAGGGATCTGGGCATAGCAGGATGTTAGCGTCTCTGTAACCTGAGTGCTGTCGTGGCTTTTGCGTCCCTATGGGGATCCACTACCCAGGGGCTGCTCGCCGCACATGTGGTAGTTACCAAATTATTTCCACAGTTAAAGGTTTTTCCAGCACTCGGGAGGCAGAGGCAGGCGGATCTCTGTGAGTTCAAGGGCAGCCTGGTCTACATAGTGAGTTCCAGGACAGCTGGGACTACAGGGAGACCCTGTCTCAAAAAGACCGGAAAAAAAAAAAAAAGGTAATCCTCCAAAGCCTGATTATCTATTCAAGGACCAAGCCCATGATGGCTTTAATGGGGTCACTATGTTGCTGTCATAGTCCTATTAATTGCATTTCTTTTTTAGAATTCATTTTCTTAAGCTGCAAAGTAAGAAAGGGCTTCGTTTGCTTCTTTAGAGGAAAACACTCATTTAACTTTCTGAATTGAGGAAATACTACATCCCATCTTCAAAAGAACTCACAATAGCTCTAGGGGTTTAGCACATGACATTACAGAACTATCCATTTAACAGTTTAGTGAACAAAATCAAAAGTTTTAAGCTGATCACGTGAAAAAGTGAGAGGTTTCATAAGGTTTTTCGCGGACTGAATGTATGCCTCATGTTACCAAAGTATCTTTGATGTTGCAGGATGATCTGTGGTTGTGCTAAATTAAATGAGCACGTTTGTCTCATATGATATATTCCGTGCCTAGAGACACAAGTCTCTTGCCTGATTATGACTAAACCTGCTTTTAATAAATAGAGACATTCTAAATAGAGGCACATTTTTTAAGATCAAGTTGACCTGGAACTCAAAGCAGTCCTTCTGCCTCAACTGCCTGAGGGCTGAGATTATAGGTATGATCCTTTACAGTCAGCAAGAGAGAAATTCTAGGTAACTCTTAGTTCTCTAGAGTGGGTAGAACAATTTCTGGGCTTCTGCAATGAGCTGGTGCAAATGTTAAAAGCTTTAGGTCGGCGTTTGCCTCTTCTTTGAATGCACAGAGCCCTGAGAACACAATTCATAGCTCCAGTGTGAACTGTTAATATTCGAAAGCTGTCAGACTCTTGTCTTGACTCTAAAGGAAGCTGTGGCCGCAGCATATGCTTGCACTAGCAGGCATTACAGTCAGCGAGAGTGCATGACCTGAGCCCAGAGAACAGACTCTGCAAACCTGGGTAGACTGACCCTGGGGTAGGGAGGAGGGGATCCTGACCATGCGTGGCTGGAGCTTACCGGCTTCTCCAGGTGGGGATGGTGCACAGCTGCACAAGCGTCAGGCAACCCAGTGGCTGCTGCTCATAAAAGGCGCTTGACCAGGCCCTGACTCGGGCTTGCACACTCACACACCTCCTTTGTGTCCCTGTTTTAATTAATCAGCTTGGCCATTGTCAGGGAACCAGATGGCACCAGAATAACAGCTTCTCACCCTTCCCCATCCCCTCAGAACTGGGCAGCTACAATACAGATAATATTAGTGGTGACGGCAGCAGATGAGATTTCCTGTTTTACATGCCATGTTCTGGCCCAGTCAAGTACAGAAGGCAGAACATCCCTGGGGTCCTTTCTTTCCACAGCTGTCTTACACATGTGGAAACCGCTGCTCCTTTAAGTCAGGCTGATTTAACCCGACTTCGGGTTCTCTACTACCTCATGAGAGGTCAGGCTTGTGCCTCTAAGCTGTGAGGAAAGGCAGAGTTTCACCCAGAGTCACCTGAGCACCTTGCTTTCAGGTGGCCGTCTCTTGATGTGACCTGTGGGACTGTCACTGCCTGCCACCCACAGAAAGAGGCACTAGGCAAGTCTCCGAAGAGTCATACCCTCAGGACCAAACTGTCCTTGAGCCTTAGTGTTTGCATAAAAATTGTCAGCAGCTACAGGAAAGCTGCATTTCTAGGGTTTTATCACTGAGGAAACCTGACGAGGATCCCTGCCTGTCCGGCCGTGATGCCAAGGTGAGGGAGGGGCTGTGCGGCTCAGCCTGGCGCAGTGAGTGGTACATGCCAGAGCCGCATTACAGCTTGCAGTCTGAAGCCAACCTTTTATAATATGATATTTTTATTATTTCTTTGAAAACTTCACACATGCATAGAATGTACTTTGATCATAGTCACCCCTTACCTCTCCCCTATCTCCTCCTAGATCCACTCCCAGTGCCCCCGCCCCCTCCCCACTTAGTGTCCTCTCTTTTGAGTCCAGTTTGTGTTGCCCATATACTCCTGGTTGTGTAGCTATCACCTGGTGCCTATTCGACTTACCAGGGGCCACAGCCTACAGCGAACTGACTCTCCTGGCCCTGAAGCCATCAACTCCTCAGCTCAGTTCCTAGCAGGGACTCATGAGCCCCTCCCCCACCATGCTAGAATGTTGGCTGGCTTTATCTTGGGCAAGTGATGACT